AGTTTTATATATATATATATATATATATATATATATATATATATATATATATATATATATATATATATATATATTAGCACTGGATGTTATTTTTTAAAATAAAATCAAAATTGATAAAGTTGAAATTCTGATTCTGACTCTCACGTAGACATTGTAAGTTTATTCTACATTATTGCCTTGTTAACTTCTCAGGTCATGAGCATTTCAAGGAAGAAAAAGAATTGGGAAAATATATACTTTGCACCTTAAACTTATCTTCAAAATTCACTTAAGACATCTAAACTTTTTGTGTGTCCCCGTACAATTAATTGTCAGAGGGTTATCAAGTAAAAAGAATGGAAAAAATAGGCTAAAAATAAAAAAATAAAAAGAGGGCAAAGAGAGATCCAATAAAAAGATGACACTCGTGAAATTTACTTTATCTTTTTCTTTTATGTCGCGTCTAGAAGGTTAGAACACCTCTTCTGTCATGTCAGCTGTAAAGGGTATAATAATAAATACACTTGAATAAGAATAGGGGTACGAGAACATAAACATAATTTAACTTTGTAAGTGGTTTTTCGAGACAAATTTAGGGTGCAAAGTATGTATTTAAGAGTATGTACCAATGGAGTATTTCTTCATACATCAAATGAAGCAACTTTCATTCTTCGAATTATTGTTAGCATATCAGTTCAAAAAATCAATTAATTACATAAAACTGGATAGGCATACCCCTCAGGAAACACAATGAAACCAAACAAAACCAAATAAATTACATTTTTTGTAGTTTTCTATTAACTTGAAGGTGATTGGGCAATCTCTCTTTGGGAGTTTGACAACACTCACTAGCTCATCAGGAGGTTCTGCAAAAACTTTAACTTTGACAATAGAGTCATCTTTGATATTATAAGCAGATAGAAATTGATCACTCTTCATTTTTGTAGACTTGTGATAAAGATTCATGTATTCATCTCCCCATACCTTTATGATTATCTTCATTAATTCTTTTACTGTACTATTTCCTCTCACTTCAGTATAGAACTCAGATGTTGGAGACTCCACCTTTATTCTTATTCTTGATCCTCCAGCCATAAGGTACAAAATTTTCTCTTTTTTGACGAATTGGAGCAACAACGAACTGAGTATTAGTTGATCGTGAAAATGAAGAAATTGAAGCAGCTAGTGGGCAGAAAGTTGAGGTTCAAATAATAGTTGCGTTGGAATGTTGAGAGGTTATCAATATTTTCCACTATAAATAGGCTTTTGAGATGGGAATTAAGAATTTAAAACGTGGATTAAACTATTCCACACGCCATTGAGGTTTCACCCAACTCCCAAGGCACAAAATTTATTAGTGTTCACACGTAAATCTATTCAAACATTTAAATATAATACTCCTCGCTTTATTTTACATACAGCTACTCAGTGACCCCTCCTTCCTTCCTAACAGCCGATTAGTCTTCTTTTTTCAAGAATAATTTACAATATAGAAAAGAAAATGTTTATTCAGATACATTTATGAGGTTTACAGCTCAAAGATACTCTTAACACATATATGGTGTGATATTATTTGCTTTTGAACAAGCCCGTAGGGGTTTTTTTCTTCAAAAAAAATTACACCGTTAAGAGATCTCTATACATTATTTGTAGACTTCTCACTACAAGAAAAAGTGTGAATTACCTAGGAATTTTACCTGGGAATTCTTTCCGCAGGAAATTTCTACAGATTTTCATGCGAAAATTTAATATTCCTAAGTTGATGAATATTTTATCTGCGAAAAATATTTTTCCAAAAAAATTCCCATGTATGCGCCAAAATATTATCTGGGGAATTATTTGGAAAAATTATCTGCAAGTACCATTTTTATAGGTAAATCCGCAAGTAAATAAATAATAGTTGTCACACCTCCTTTTTACACACCCGAAGGTAGTATAATGGAGTTTTTTCAATTAAGGTGACATTATTCGAAATGAGATTATTTATTTAATTCATAGAGTCGCCACTTGAAATATTTTAATTGGTGTTCCAAGTCACCGGTTTATTTTAAATCCCAAATCGAGGAAATTCGACTTTCCTTTTGAAGTCTGCGAACCAGAAATTCTAAGTAAGGAATTCTGATAACCCGGGAGAAGGTGTTAGGCATTCCCGGGTTCCGTGGTTCTAGCACGGTCGCTTAAACTATTATAATTGGCCTATTATCTGATTTTAATACATGTTTTAAACCTATATGCATTTTAAGCCTTATTAACCGCTTTTAATCATTTTAGGAAGGTTCAACGTTATTTAAAACACGCCTTGAACCACGCCACATGAAATGCACCCGCGATCCACGATACATTTTATTTAACGTTGTTGAGAATTAAAATTGGGTCACATGAAATGCACACCCGAACCCCTTTAATCTAATTTGACGTAGTTCAGCAATCCAAGTTCTATACTGAGACAAAATCATGTTCAGCTATAACCAATTCGAGTAAACATACGAGCAAATAGCTAAGTGAACAACTTCAAAACTACGGAGAACAATTACAGAATCAACGGGATCATATCACCAAACCAATAATTAATATCAAGCTTGAATAAAACAAATAGGAGATGAAAGAGTTGAACCTCAATATAGCCGGAAAATTGGTTGTTTCAATGTTTAACACTCAAAAATATGACGAACCGCGAACGGGGACCCAAATCGGCACCGAAAATCTAGAACCGGCGACGAACTCGAATCAACCTCGACTTAACTCTATTCCCATACTCGAATAACCAGAAATCAAAACCAAATGAAGAAACAGAACCATCTTCGTCGACAGATTCAAACTCCAAACGGAACTTCGGATCAAATATTTCAAACCAAATCCATCTTTCAAACCAATTTTAACAGAAAGAACCCAACGTTTTTTTTTGTTTTTTTGTATTTTTCTGAAATTAAATTCCAGCTAAAAATCTGAAAGAGAAAACGAAGTCCAAACACGAGAAGGCTCGACTGATTGAAAACAATGGCCGTCGTCCGAAATCTGTGTCAAAACGGCGCTCTTCAGCCTTTTTGGTTCTTGCGCCTGATCGTCTATGTCAGCTGCTGGAGATGACGAACGGTAGAGGTTCTGATTTTTGTTCAAACGGCTGATCAAAAATTTTAGTCCTTAGGTCTCATTCTGTGTATTCTCTCCAAGAATGAGAGAATTCCGATGGGGGGGAGGGGGGTCCGTGTATGCTGCGGCTGGCAGCTTTTGTCTCTTAGGTCTTTTTCATTTTTTTGTCCTTTTCGGCTGCTAGTTTCTAGGATTCTTCAGCCTTTTTCTTTGGTTCTTTCGAAAAGGAAATGGAGCAGACAAAGAATAAAGGGGATGGCGGATGAGATGAGTTTTTTTAGGCGTAGTTTCTTATTTAGGGATTAGCTATTATTATATAGGGGTAGGAATTAGGGCTGCTTATCGGGCGGATTGGGTGGTTATTTACTCTTAACGGTTTGGCTTATTGGTTATCGGCTTCTAGATTTATTAATCCGCTAGCCACCCGATAAGATATTGGGCGGATTGGTATCGGTTTAGCTCTTATCGGACGGTTTATCGGCCTAATTCGATCTATATTGCACATGATGCAATATACGCAATTTAGCGAGGGTCCAAAATTTGCTTCGTCGTGCTTCAAATGTATGTTGATGTTGTTCAAAGAATGGGATTTCTTGCTCTTGTTTTATAACTGCTCTAATTTTCTTTAGATGTCGCTCTAATTTTTAAACAATCCAAGAACACCTGCCGAAACGTGAGCGGACTGACGTTTTTTTTTTACATGCAAGCAAACCTGCAGATGTTATGTGTTAAACCCAATTGACAGCAAATTCTGCTCGTTAAACTATCTCTTGTTTGTTAAGTTTTGGTACTTCCATTGCACCTACTGGAGGTGGTAAGAATACGTGAAGCAATCAAGTAAATTGTTTTTGGTTTGATAGGATTGAAAAGAATGCGCGAAGCAAGCAATTAAAATTTGTCTAATAGTAAATTAGAAATAGAGAATAGAGATAGAGTACTTGAAGTGGAAGAAGGGTTTTTGATTATTTAATATATATATATATATGGATAAAAATAAATTATATATATTCTTAACGGGTTAACGGATTATCCATTAAGAAAATTGAGTAATCCGCCCCCAAACCGATAAGCCGTTAATAAAAAAATTTTAATCCGTTCCCCGTCCGTTAACCCGATACCAATAAGCCATTAAGCTTCGGTTTCGGTTCGGTTTTGAACACCCCTAGTAGGAACTAGGTTAGGGTAATGGGCCTAGGAATAATGAGCTTAGAAATTATGGGCTAGGACCAAAGTTAGGCCTAAAAATAGGTTGCTCGAGCCCAAATTTTATCCTTTCTCCGCGAACGGGGCTAAAATACAATCTCATTTATTAGTTAGTCCTACTTAAATAAAATAACTGTTAAAATAAGACTGACCGTTAAAACAAAACTATTTTTTGATATTTTTCAAGATTAAAAATGACTACAACACATTAATGAAACTATTTTTTGTCATTTTTATTTTCTTGTACTAAAATAAAGTAAAAGAGTCAAAATTAATTAAAATAGCTATATTAGGCCTAAATTAAATATTTACGTGCTAAAATATGAAAAATCTTGGGGAGGGTGAAAAATCACATGTCTACAGTTGCCCCTCTTTGACTGAAAACGCGAAGAGTTTTTAGACAAAGAATGACTAGACAGGTTTTTTTGACCTGACCCTTATTTAGAGAGGCCAAAAGCTAAGAGAGAGGAGAATGTGACCGAGCCCTGGTATCTGAGCTGCCTACATATCATTGGCTATAAAGGAATCAGGCCACGTGTAGTTCAGAAGTGAGTGAGATGATGGAGTACCGAGGTTGAGTGCCGAGCGAGGTGCCGTTCTGTCGAGGTTCCGGTCCGCGGTCCCGTTATTACATCAAAAATCAAAATTGAAAAAACTAACTAAGCCTATCAGCTACGAGTTACAAGATTCCTATCTATGAGTCTTCTGAAGCTTGATCTTGAGTCTTGGTTGGTTCTTCATGCGGACTCTGATCTGAATCTTGATGCTTGTTAGCTGCAGGTGCTGGTTCTTTCTTCTTCAGCTTTTCGGATCAAGGCGGGACATGCGAAGCTTGTGACTTCAATCATATATTGAGCAGTCCGCATCTTTCTCAGCTTCTGCATTTTGAGTTCACTTCTTTTTGCTCTTTTTTCTTCTTTTCTTTATTCTGGATTGAGACTCATTCTGTTGGTCGCCTCGAACCCTGTGCCTCGAGGTAAAACCTGCTCAGACACCAAAATAAACAAACGAACGAAATTTTTCTGCCCCAGCTTTCACTAGAAAAATTTCGTGAGTTATTGTAACAAAATTCTAAACTTTTTTCTTTTTGAAAGCAATAAATTCAGGATTGTGTATCCTTGGGGAAGAAGAGATTAGGGAGTGGAGACCCTATATCTAAAATAAAATCAACTAGGGAGTGGAGACCCTACGTTGGAAAGGCGACTAGGGAGTGGAGACCCTATGTCTAAAATAAAACTCAACTAGGGAGTGGAGACCCTATGTTGGCAAAAGCGACTAGGGAGTGGAGACCCTATGTCTAAAATAATCTCAACTAGGGAATAGAAACCCTATGTTGGAAAGTGAGACTACTGACTTGTGTACCTATGCTAAAATGAACCAAGAAGGATTTTTTTTGTTTGTAAAATCATCTTTTTTTTTTTCTGAGAAAATCATTCTTTTAAACAAATTGCCCCAACGCCTTTTTTTTTAATCAAGACATCCTTTTTTTTCTCTTTTAAGAAATTCATCAGACTAGGTTTTAATCTTAGGAGAAACATTCATCAGACTAAGATTTTGATCCTAGGAGAAAGTTCATCAGACTAGGTCTTCTATCTTAGGAGAAAGATTCATCAGACTAAGATTTTGATCCTAGGAGAAAATTCATCAGACTAGGTCTCTTTTTTTTCTTTGGTTATCTTAAGGAGAAAGATTCATCCGACTAAGACATTTATCCTAGGAAAAAATTCATCAGACTAGGTTTTCTATCTTAGGAGAAAGATTCATCAGACTAAGATTTCTATCCTAGGAGAAAGTTCATCTGACTAGGTATTTTTTGTTATCTTAGGAGAATGATTCATCAAACTAAGATGTTTATCCTAGGAGAAAATTCATCAGACTAGGTCTTCTATCTTAGGAGAAAGATTCATCAGACTAAGATTTTAATCCTAGGAGAAAGTTGATCAGACTAGGACTTTTTATCCTAGGAGGAAAATGTGAGGATCAATGGCAAGATTTTATACACAATAATAAGACAAATAAATGCAATGATTTGAGAAACTTCCCTTTGCCGGCTCTTCTCTTCTTTTTATTTTCTTCTCTTTATTTTTTCGTATATTTTTTTTCTCTTTTTTTGAACCATTTTCCTTGCACTGCTTTGTTTCCTGTTCCACACAAAGAAAAATTTGTCAGTTTTGAAAGTGGTGGCCGGTTTGTCGCCTTGAGTCTTGAGCAGCTTGGCTTTTGCTCGATCAGCTTGAGTCGGTCCCAAGAGACTTTTGTTCTGCACCAACTCTGATTGTTTCACACCCAATACCATTTGTATTTGCGGCTCAATCAGCCTTAGCCCAACTGAAGATCCTTGCTTAGGTGACCTTTTTCTGATATCTTGAATGACTTCCTGTTTTTGAGCAATTTGTCTGTCAGAGAAAATCACCAGTTATCTTTGCTTGTGCCAAGTAGGCTGACAAGAGTCTTTTGGGGGGAGCCTTTGCATGAATCCTCAAGGTATTTTGACAATAACATCTGTATATGCTGGCTACATTCACTTTGTGCAATTGAAAAGCTGGTAGCAGATTTTGAAATCTTTTCTTGCTTGTTTTGACGAGGACTGACTCGGAGTGAAGGACACAATGATGCAAAGAAACAAGTATTAACAAGAAATGCCCCTGTCGGAAGGACAGAAGGACAGAAGGAAGAAGTTTTTCTTTTTTTTTTTTGTTGTGTTTTTTTTCAATAACTAGCCTTAATGATCATGACATGCAATTTGGACTTAACGGCCTGATCTATCCAACTAATCCAATCTTCCCTTTTACCATTGTTATGACCTTTGAAGTCGGGCTTGTTCGTGCCAATCCTTTGCATCAGCTTCATAACTCACTTTCGACTAGTGGTGCCCCGAGAGGTTTTCACCAACAAGTCTCTCTCATTTATTCATCTCTGCTTACCGTCGCCATACAGTGCCTGTGAAGGTTTTTACTAGTAAGACTCTCTCAGTTGTTCTTTTTCTTTTCTCTACCCTTCTTTTTTGTGAGCAACTTGACAGTGTTCCATGTCGCGTGACAACCGTTGTTCATTGCATGCTTCTCTCGGCATTCTTGAAGGCATATCGGGAGGTCTTTATTTGGAAGGTTTTTGGATAGGGCTGGACAGAAGGGTCGGCATGAAGGCTCAAAGTAGACTCAAAATGAGGGGTTATGGACTTACAACTCTTGGAATCGACTCTTTCAAAAGTGAAATAAAATCTCTACCCCAGTTTCAGATACTGGGGATTTTTTGGGAATTTTTTTTTCTTTTCTTCTTTTTTTCTTATTTGGTTGGACCGAACCGTGAGACTGTCTACGTATCCTTTAAAGGAATCGGGTCTAACGTAGTTCAAACATTTGACCTAACTAATTTTTTTTCATCTTTCTCTCTGTTTTTTTTTCTTTTGTCTTCTTTTTTTCAAAACAAGGTGCCCCAGCTTCTATTTTGTGGGGGCATGGACCTTTGCCAGTTCTTTTCTTCTTCATTTTTTTTTCACTTGAACTTTCTAAGAATGCCCCAATTTGTACTCTTGGGACATGGACTTTTTTTTTCTTTTTCTTTTTTCCTTTTTTTTCCTTTTTTTTGTTTTTTTTTTTTTTTTTTTTTTTTTTACTCTTGACTCTAAACTTGATTCCAAAAGAGGGTGATCAAAGAAAATAACACAGGCTCAAAAGGGGTAGCGAAGGATATAATGTGTTTGGATAGCAGAAAAAGGGCCTCCCAGCCTCGAGAACGCCAAACACAGTAACTTTTCGCGATCACAGCATTGACGAACATCTCTGTCTTCTTGGTGTGTCTTGGTCGAAATACACTTTCCATCCATTAATGTCAAACTTTTGACCAAGCTTCAATTGATTAAACATCCTCAAACCCGACCTTCACAATGATTTAAAGGTGAATTTTACTCGACCTTAATTCCAAAGTATTTCAACTCTTTATTCATCCTCAAAAGTGTCTTGTTCTCAGTTATCCAATTCAAGCTTAAATCAATTTTCTAAGATCTGGCCAAAAATTCCGCATGCATGTCATATCACTAAAACTAGCGAGAAAGAAACTAAGCATAGATGATACGAAAGGACAAACTGTATTTTATTGAATAAGGATGGAAGGGTTTGACAACTAAACAAGCAACCTAAAATCGAGTTACAACCCTAAAATACCCGAATAATGAAAATAGCAACAAAACATACAGACATGACTCATACAAACAGGATAGAGGGATAGAAGGGTTTGACTCACTAAAACAAATAAAATCTGGATCACAACCCTGAAATAACCCAGATAACAGAAAAAACATCAAAACAAGCTACCAAGATTCCTTCCTGGTGAGGAGAGAATGACTTTTCAATTGCTAAGCTTGACATTTAGCCACAAATTTGCTCATCAGAATCACCATGGCCTTCTCAAATTTCAGTCGACAAGTTCCCGAGAGGATTCTCATACTCCATGTCACCGGGCATCATCCCCACAAAGTGTGCATCATCATGTGCAGGTAAAGGATTCTGCGTGATATTCTGGGCGTCACTGTCTTGGATCACAATCAATTTTTCCTGGATCATCCTTTCTATTTCTCTTTTCAAATCCCGACAACTTTCAATATTGTGCCTCTGGGCATTGGAATGATATTCGCACCTTTTAGAAGGGTCAAAGCTTCTTGCACGT